GCCGAGTTGGCTCTCGAGCTCCGAGATCTCGTCGGCCACCGCGTCCTTGCGCGACTCGAGCAACTCGTCTGAGGTAACGGACAGGTGGGGCTAATGGGGGTGTGAAGGCAAGACGCCGGCGTGACTTGACGTGTGCAGCGGGGGTTGGGCTCGCGAGATGCGTGCGCGGAGCAGCGTCGACCTGCGCGCTCTTTGCCGACCTCAAAGTAACATTCGCCGTACTGCACTCTGCGGAGGCAGCGGAGCGCCGGGCGGCGCGTCAGTCTACTGGCGCCCGGGGTCCTAACGGGATGCTTGCCTCGGAGCCGAGGTGAGTCGTGCGGCCACAGTGGCGCACCGCACAGGCTCGTCGTCGTCCGCAAGGATGAGCTCGTTGGCCGCGTCGTCTAGCTGGTCGTGCTGCGAGCGCTTCTCCTTGATCTCGTCCTCGAGCTCGTGCATCCGCGTGTTCAGCCGCCCAAACTGGTTGATGGCCTGCGGCGAGAGTGAGGTGCGGTCAAATGTGGCGATGGCTGGAAGGCCGCACCAGCACCAGCTCCAGTGCCTGCTGGTCCTCGAGCCTGACTTCGACATCCTCCTCGGCCTGCGGCTGCGAGGCGAGGACGAGGGTTAGGGTTTTGAATCCACAACCGGGCAGAATAAGTACCGCCTCTCACCATGGCGCGAAGGAGGAGGCAGCGAGGGTTAGCAGAGCGTTCCGCAGCGCCGCTTGGTTTCTTTTTTCTAGAATTCTTTCTTTGCCATTTGCAATTCAGAACACAGCGGTCGGCACGTCCACTGTCGGCTCGCCAGATCGCCAGTCGATCTTGTGTGCCGGCGGACTGCATCAGCAGCGCGACGAGAGCGTCCGGCAAAACATGTTCGGAAGTCGCATTTTCCCCAGAGATTTTATCAGAATATGCCCACCCAAACATCCAAACTCAAAATCGGCGCCACCGCCCCCGCCCAAGCCCTCCTCCGGCAGGAAGCGCAAAGCCAACGCCAATGTCGCCGCCCAGCACGCCGCCTCCCTATAGCCGACTCGCCACCCTCCGCCGCCGCCCTCGCCGCCACCAAGCCCGCCATCACCCTCCCCGCCGCCACTGTCGCTGCCGCCGCCCTCACCACCACCGCCTCGCCGTCGCCGCCCTCGCCACCGCCGCCCTCGACGCCGCCACCCTCGCCGCCACCGCCCACGCCATCGTCGCCCTTGCCACCACCACCCAGCCCACCGCCTCCCTCACCACCGTCACCCTCACCCCTACCTCGCCGCTACCTCGCCCGCTCGCGCCCGACTTTCTACCTCCTCGTGATCCAACCCGCCACCCCCCTCGCCTCGTCACCCTCCCGCCGCCTCGCCGCTACCTCGCCCGCTCGCGCCCGACTTTCTCTTCCTCGTGATCCAAACCCCCACCCCCCTCGCCTCGTTACCCTCCCGCCGCCTCGCCGCCACCCCGCCCGCTCGCGCCCGACTTTCTACCTCCTCGTGATCCAACCCACCACCCCCCTCGCCTCGTTACCCTCCCGCCGCCTCGCCGCTACCTCACCCGCTCGCGCCCGACTTTCTACTTCCCCGTGATCCAACCCGCCACCCCCCTCGCCTCGTTACCCTCCCGCCGCCTCGCCGCCACCCCGCCCGCTCGCGCCCGACTTTCTACCTCGTGACCCAACCCGGAACCCGCCACCCCCCTCGCCTCGTCACCCTCCCGCCGCCTCGCCGCTGCCCCGCCCGCTCGCGCCCGACTTTCTACCTCCTCGTGATCCAACCCGCCACCCCCCTCGCCTCGTCACCCTCCCGCCGCCTGGCCGCTACCTCGCCCGCTGGCGCCCGACTTCTCTTCCTC